ATTGTTGAGGAAGTTTTATTTAAAAATGATTGTTACAATTGTCGACATAGTTCTAATACTAAACGTATGTTAGAATTGTTTGATTGGCAATTATATGAGTCTATTTAAATTAATTAACAAGGAAAATCGGTAAATTTATAAGAACTTTGTTTCAGTTATTTATTACAAATAGAAGTAATTTGCACTGGAATTCAAAGCTAAAACACAATTTTCAATAACAAAAAGGCCTTATTAAAAATACTTTAACTGTATTTAGAAAGTTAATTAAAACAGTAGTAACTAAATTTATTCGTGGATCATATAAAAGTATGTTGGGGAATTTTTCTTTGATGTCATTGCCAGACGCCTATCTTGTTAATCGTCAACCATCATATTGATATTTCTGACTCGAGTCTTTCCGTCACTTTAAGAGCCGGCGCACAACTTTGACTAAACTATCGTACAACCGTTGTGCGATAGTAACTAAAAATCGAACAATAGCGAACCTCCATAATTTCTAATAGGAGACAAAGCGAGGCTAAACAGTGGAGCTTTCAGGTGTGCGCACACTCTACATGAGCACGGTTTTTTTGACATTTCATAATTATGTTCATATTGCTGCAATTGTTTTATCGATTTTTATAGTAGGGATCAATCTAAAATTCTAACTTTTAAGTTATACTGCCACATTATCATCCTATTACTAGTTGCAAATGTATAGAAAATATTGTTATTGTAAAAGTTAATATTTATCATGATGAGATCAGAACATAATAATGTAGACCATGTATAAATAATATTCAAAGCAAAACAATGCTATTAATATTTCTATAACACACCTGACGCACGAAGGTACAAATCTAAACAATACTCGAAAGCCACACAAAGTGCTAACAATTATGTAAAGAGCGAGGGCAAAACGTTTTATTACGCATAAAATAATATACTATAGAAATGAAGACTCCGACTTCTATTTAGTAGATTACGAAAATCCCTGATAGTTATTTCTGATAGTTATTAGGATTCTGATTTGGAGAGGTAAAGGTCGTCAATTAAACCATTTGATGTATTATACGCCAATCTTTTTAATCATATTTCCACACAAACAAACATAGCGTGGACATAAACTGACTGACCAAAACATCGGTGTACTTCAGAGTAATTCAGTTATAAAAGCTATAACAAAAAAAAAATTGAAAGCCTATCTTTTAAGGTAGTCTTCAATGGCAATCTAGTATAGCTTTTGTTATGAGATAAAGAAATTTGCTCTTAATTTTATCAAGGCGATGAAGTGTCAATGGACTGTAATAATCTTGAATGACCAGATTGTTTGTTGACAAAAGGAGACTTATTCTTAAACACTAAAATAAGTTCATTCGCACCAATTTAATGATACAATTGATCGTGTATTTTAATTGGTTCTTCTGTAACTCCTAATGCTATTTTAGTGTGCTAAGTATTATGGTTGAAACAGTAACAGAAACGCAAAGCAAAACTCAAATACTTCAAAGCGTTTCAATAAATCTTACATCAGTAGTTTTAACTCGATAAAAACTTTAAAAAGCATTGTTAGTGAAGCATTAATAGACTATTACAAACAACCACTAACTATTTTTAGTGATTAGTGGTTTTTAACTTCTTTGTACATTTAAATTTGATCAATATCTGCGTAGAGCATAATAATAAAAGTAGTTATATGTGCATCCTATAAACGTGTTACTAAAAATCTTGCTTCTACAAACATCTTAAAAAAGAGGCATATTTCAATCAACATAAATATTCCGTCTGTCATTGAACGACTATAGATTTCCTACGTCAAGCTTTTAGTCGAAGTCTAAAACAAAGTGTTAAATCATTAATGAAAGAATTATAGGTGATTGTATTTAAAATAAAAGTCAAACAAAACGCGAACGCATCATTCAAACAATTTTATGCTGTACATTTATTAGAGCAGATTGTTTACGATACTATTTCGTGTATTTCAATCATCTAAATTGATTGTGATGTTAAGAATTGCTTTGTTTACTCGTTTCAGACGTTAGTGATCATTGCAGATTTACAAAAAACAATAAGAAAAGCTATAAATTTAACATTTAAAATGTTTCTTTAATAGACATTTTTTGCTAATAACGTATGAACAAAAGGTGTAACAGTTTTGTTTTCTGTAGTAGTTACTTTGATATGTTTTAATTTAATTTATAAAAGCGTACGAATGTGGCCAGCAAACTTCATTTATACCAACAAGAATCGATATTTCTAATGCATTAATATTTTACAACCTCCAGATTCAACGTTTTTATATTTTGTTTTCATTCTTGAACTTCACAGCAGTATTCCTATTGTTTACCATTTCGTTTTAGATGATTATAAAAGTAACGCGTATAATATTTGCAATAACGAATACTAAAACATAAATAGTTGGTATAATTTAACATTAATTGTGGTTGCTAATGTCGCTTATTTAGTAAATATATGATCAAATTGTGTCAAGGATTGAATGTCAAGTTAACACTTAATTGCGCGATTAAAACATGCTCTACCTATAAAAGGTTTTATAGGTCCCTTGCTTGATGCTACAATTACTTTTACGCAAAAAAAAACTTATAGTAACTGAGAAGTTTAATCAAAATATAACAATTATTCAGTCAATATACAACTGAAATAAAAAAAATGCTAAAAAACGAGATACAATATACATTTTAACAAAACGTATAGATGTAGCTACTTTGGCAAACAGAACTGGCAAGCTCTAGAATCTCTTCTGCCATTGGCCGAAAAAAAAGATATTTGGCGTCGTTGAGAAGGGCGAGGTGCGAGGGGGAATTCCACCTGTTTTATTTCAACACCAATCAAAGACATTTCAAGTGTCTGGAGTTTCGGGTAATGATCCAACACGAGTTTTCGACAAGGTCGTGTACATACCGCCTTGTCTTTAACCTTTTTGCGCATATTTAAAAGTAGATAGTTATATAGAATTAGTCTTCTGCAAGAAAATAAAAAAAAAATGCAGTCTTGTGATTTACCTAATGTAAATTTGACTATAACTTTTACTGCAATAATAAACGCTTTTTCTGTTTGTTTGCATTAGTTAAATTTCATAGTTCTGAAGGATACGGTGGTTTATTTAATCATAAGTCACGTGACTTCAGTTATCGGAACGTTCTGAGTTCGCGTTAGGCAATTGTTTACGTGCGAACAATTACAATGGCGATATCGATTGCCTGGAATGAATCGACGCAACTCGGTCACGTTTTATTGTAGCTGATAGAAAATATTAAAACCGTAACAAATTATTGTTAAAACTAATGGTCTTTACATTTATGATTTATTGGAAAAAAATAAAATTAAACATTCCTATGTCTATTAAAAAAAAAAATCTTAAGTCATCATGAATGTTCTAGTAACCTTTTAGTGACAAAAATTTAAAAAAATTTACTCAGCCTACACCAGACACTAACATTTAGTACATTATAATTTTATTATCTTTGATGTCGGTTATTAACCTATTTATATGTTAATGAAATAACATACAAAAGGGGTTAAAGACTCCAAACGACATTAAAACATTGCTCTTTAAAGCAATGAACCTAAAAGATCATTTACTTATCATGAATACGAAATATAATGTCGTGTGGAAATCACATCGTTTTGAATAAATCGTTTGTTAGGTCAGATGAAAGAGGTAATTGCTACATAACCTTAAATAAAAAACACGTTTGAATGATGTATACATTTAATATGTCATTTATCAGCTATGATTATTTTTGCGCCCAAACCAAGTTTTATGATGAATACACTATAAACACTTCAAAAATGTTTGCATAGGCAATCAATTATCTAATGCAAGCTATATTTGAACGTTAACCGACGGTAACTTAGTTAAAAATAGGAAGTTTTTTGAAAATCCACACTCAAATTTCATCACCAGCTTACTTTACGTCCTTACTAAGCTCGGAGCCTGACGTAAATTAGGAGTGAATAAGTCATCGTCTCTGGCCCAGTGCCTGTTGGTGGACTTCACACATATCTTGGAATATATGTTTCATTCTTATTATTTTAGATAAAATAATAGGTACGTTTTAATCAAGTAATTGAATGACAAAGCATCAGAATGCTCTATCATTGAGTTACTCGTGTCGCTTTAAAATGCAGTTAATGATATTGGCCGTGAAATGGAGACGCCGTTTCATTTGCACATAATTAATAGGTCACCGAGCAACGTGCATAATAAATAGAGAAAGAATTAAATGTGCCCCGGTCAAACGGTGATATCACCAGTAATAACCAGTTCATTTACTATGTTATATCAAGCTAGTAATTTAATTATCTCAAGATTTTCTTCTACACGCAAGAATTTTACAGTTATTTATACAAGAGATATTTTAGAACAAAATTTATTAAACCGAAAAATGCAAACGATTTTTTTATATTGGCCACAGAAATTTCACTAACAATGTTTTGCAAATGTTTTTTATTTTTATTTTTGCGTACCTTTTTAATGAATATATTTGCGGCCAGGATTAAAAGAATCTGTTTTATAAATAGAATCGTTCGCATATAAATACGCATTTTTCGTTTATATACAAACAGAATGGTGAGTGAGAAAATAATCGGAAAATAGTGTAATCCCGACGGCGTCGCGGCGCCACTGTCTACGTCGAGGTTGGCACGAGACGCCCCTGTAGTGTTTGTTTGCGAACGTCTTCACATCTGTTCCGTTAAACATCCGCCCGTTTCAGTATCGCTCCAATTCTCTTCACACCCAGTACTACTGGCAGTTTAATTGAATGATTGCAAAAAATAAATTGAGACGTAATTTTTCTATAGTTCAAGTGTTTGCCTCCTCTCTTCAGTATGTTGTTTTTGAAGACGATGAGGAAGTTTGTGGTGCTATTGTTCGATATTAAAGAAGTATTCAGTGAATGTTTGATTAATGTCTTACTCAAAGATAGAGCGGTGACAATCTATTAAGTCTTTACGCGAAACATATTTAGCATTTTGTTTTTTAATAAATTATAGCCTATATTTTGCATAAAAGTGCTGGTTTGAGCAGCCGTTGACAGTGAAGGACTGATCTTTGAACCGTGAAGTCGGTTGTGAACCTAGTGTCGGACGACCGTGGACACGATTGCTAGACCTGTGAAATTAATGCTTAGTAGAATGTCTGGACTTAAAAGATGTATCAGTCAAGTGTCCATGTTCATGACAGGGAAGCCGATAAATTCATCTGAATCAGCGTGGAGAGAGGAACTGCAAAAGTAAGTCGATAATAAAACAACGCATAAAGCTATTAAAAACATTTAAAAAGAATTTACTCGTTGCACCGTTGACGAAACATTGAAGGTCTCTTACAATAATAGGATAGTCTGACTCATGAACGCTATTGAAAAAGTACTATAAGAAAAAAGAATAGATACAGTTTTATATGAAGCTATTTCCAGCGTTCACAAAGAGTACGTGAAAGAGGCGGTTGATGAGCGGTTGATGACGTCTTTCCACTGGACATCCCGTCACACGACATACTATGACGTCACTATCATAAGCTTAAAATAATTTATTCATACGTTAACTCTTGTTTAGTCTAATGTAGATAGAGCATGAATATTGTGTATGCAAAAAACAAGCAGACAGTAACAATAACGTTAATTAAAGTAAAGAAAAACATTTTTAATAGTTGCAATATTAAAAGGGATAGATTGTCAGAGACAAGACAAACTTTATGTCGCTACGTCACTCTTGTTAATAAAGCCCCCTGCACACTTTCAGTTTGAACAGCACAGTTATAACTGAACAGTCGTACTGTTAAAACTGTGTGTGTTAAGTAATTTATCTGTCAATTGTACTATACCGTTAAAGTTAACTCATGTCATTTATTATTTACACGCACAGTCGTTAAATTACTTTTCAAAATATTAATAACTAAGATATGTGCATTAAAAATAAATAACTTTGGTATTACTAACATTTAAAAACATTACAACTACGCCTCGTTTGTTGTCGCATTGTTTCACAACAGGTGACTAAAAAATAAACAAATATTTGTAGATAATAAACAATATCGTGTAATGTCACACCTAATGTGAGTAACTGAGAGTAATGCGATGACGAAGTTTTTAATTTTTTAGATGAAGCACCAAAAGGATAACTCTTTAAATTTCTGAATACAATCGGTTCAGACGTTGACGGTGAATTTATTCTCAAGTTTTCATTTTAATAAAAAAAAAGTATTTTTAATGAGAGGAGAAAAATACTCAACAATAAAAAGAATTCGGAAAAATTTCATATGTAGATTTGAAAGTCAGGGATGGGAGGTCCGTTAGTGACTCAGTGCATAAAATAGTATACAACATGATATTACTAGTTAAAATCGTGTTATTTCGTAAGATGTTTTTTTTAACTGCTATTTTATTCGATTAACTTACACACAGAACGAGCACATAATGGGAAACAAAAATTTATTAGGCTCGAAAATTATCAATTTCTCACAAGTTTAACGTCACGTTTACCACGTTATCTTTCGGCTTTAACATTGACATTTTGCTCTAGGACAGTACTTAAAGTCAGAATTTAACTACATAGAAAAAAATCTTTACTAACATTTATTTTTATTAGCACCAAGCTTTCTGAAAAAAGCTTCCATTTATTTAATAGAGTTATATGATTTATCTAATCCTTATAATATGGTATCACTACATATAGATAAAAAGCAGTTAAATTAATTGAAGCCAGATTGTCCTTGTGGCTTGAGTGACGAGATTACAAACGCAAACACAAACTAATGGACTACACTCGCAAGTTAGTCATAAAAGCTTTTAAGGCAAATAACTTTTATTTACTTTGTCGGGATTGTATTTGTTTTATCATTTACTCTGATCCTATTTATTTGCATTTTTAGCATTGATTAAAATTATAAAAGTGTTTGTATTCTATGTTTCATTAAATAGCGTGAACATAATATGCCATTAATAAACAGAGGGTAAAATCATTATTTTTATTAGAGTATACATTTAAACTGCGATATCATATCCACTATTTTGTCGTCGTCATGAGCTAGTTTAATTATTATAAAAATGTTTCCAATCGACGTACTATTCACTAATAAATTTAATTCAAAAGCAGTTTAACAAACATTTGGTTATTGTATCAAAGAGTGCGTCACGGATCAATGTCCGAATGAGCGATTCCGACTGGATTCAAACGCCAATTATAAATTCCAGGTCACAGAATGATATTATACCATGATCGCACAATGTTTCGTTATATCATGGATGGAAAGATTTAAAACAATTTTTATTAGTAAAACATCTTGAACATAGTGAACAAATTCAGATTTTTAAAACTTTAGTATTTTGCCACTCAAATTGGGATAATTTTATAATTACGAGTAAACACACAATATTTATATATATTTTAAATTAAATTTGATTACTATTCAAATTCAAATAACTTCCATAAAAATGTTTTAATAAAGGGTACATAGATTAATAGTGTATATATGTTTCCAGATACCGTCAAGCCCGCTACGCAGCAAGGCGCGTCAGAAAACGCGTCATCTTCAAGCACG